CTCCTTCTCTCCCTCCTCTTTCTGTCCTTGCTTCTTTTTCTCTCCCCTTCTTTCTATCCTTCTCTCCCTTCTTTCTCTCTCCTTCTCCCTCTCCCCTTCCCTCCTTTCTCTGTTCTTCTGTGTCCTTCTTTCTCTCCCCTTCTTTCTCTCTCTCCTTCTCTCTCTCCCCCTCTCTCCCCCTTCTTTCACTCTCTTTCTCTCCCCCATTCTTTATCTCTTTCTCTTTCTACCTCTCTCTCTCTCCTCACTCCCCCTCTCTTTCCTTTCTCTTTTATTGACTTGGAGAGCTTTGCCCAAGCAACTTGATCGAGAGTAACATTATCAAGAGCTTTGCGGGCCCGCTTCTTTTGTCATTCCCACACCCGTGTCGGCTCGACACTCGTCACTGTCAATCAAACCGCAATAAGACGCAGATGAGTTGCTCATTTGGTTTAATAAAATCTCCCTGCTTATTTGCAGTGCAGTCATTATGCCACATAATTGCTGCACCGCCGAGGTGAACAGCCGGTTGCCTGGGGATATGAAAGGAGGGGTGGATATGAAGGGGTTTTTCTCCTCTCCTTGTATCCCTCTCCCTAGTCACTCATATCCCTAAAATTAATATTGTATTTGAATCTGCTCCCTGCCACTCCTACATGCGCACCCATGCCGATGCAAGGCTAACATTATTACTTATTATTTGGATGTGAAGTCATTTATTTTGAATTGCCTTGGCAAGTCTGCCAAGCTCAATTGCATTGAGGAGGGCTCGGTGCCAGTTTTAATGGCCACTGGAAACCGAAGACCCAGAATTAGGAAAAGAACCCGCTTATAGGCTCACCTGCCGCGTGGTCCCTAAGCTGGAGGGGCGGGAAAAAATAATCAAAGCACTGGGCCTCTGTTATTGTGCTTCTATGGACACCATCTTAGGCTGAATGGTCCCTAGGGTTTGTGTGAAAGGAAACAAACCAAGATGGTTTATTTCTTAGGCTGAGACGTCATTGGGAAACAAACTTAAGATGGTTCCTTCGCTTGAGGAGGGAACTTAAAGATGCAGCATTGAAAAAAACGGGAGTCTGAGATGGTTTTGAAGAGAAACTTTGCAAAACTTGGTGTAGGTCAGGTTTGCACCAACTGCACTTAGTAGTGGTTTCCGATTTGTGACAATAAACATGCATTTTTTCCCCCAAGAGCTCGCAAAGTTCAATGTACACAGGCATTAGTTTTTGTGGCTGCAGCTAAAGCAACAAACCATGTTGTTGGGAGATCTGGCCTTGCCTTGCTAAGGAGACCATCAAGAAATTCTCAAATTAAACCCCGATTCGTGGAAACGAGCCTGGCACAATAACAGAAGCTAATCTCCAACCTAGCCTCAAATTACATACACACACATACATATATATATATGTTCGAACACAATGCAGAAGCCTGATGATGGCAGATGAGATTCTGCCGAAACGTTGCTACAACTTTAAAAGCACAACTATAATGACATGGGGAAATACCTGAACAAAGCTGAATACCATACATGTAAGTACCCACGAAAACATAAGAAAACAAATATATACTGTGTGTTGTGTGTGTATATGTGTGTGTGTATACATATATGTATGTATGTATGTATGTATGTGTGTGTGTGTGTGTGTGTGTGTATATATATATATATATTGTTTTTGTAGATTTTCATGGGTACAGGTATGTAGGTCTAGGTGTGTTCGGGTCTTTTCCCGTGTAAGATTAAGAGTATCTTGGCGACGTTTCGGTGAGGTCCCACTCGCCATCCTCAGGCTGGTGCTTTGCACTTCGTGCCTGCACTATCTAATTTGATCTAAACGTCATCCGCAAAGTAATCCAAGCAATGACTTACTGGGGAGCATTTTATTCTTACTTTTAACTGTAGCTTGCAAAGGGGAATGCTGCATTTGAAGTGTTGTAATCTTACAGCCAACCACGCTCAAAAGAAATGGAGACAGAGGGCGGGGAGCGAGAAAGAAAAAGAGAAAAAAAGAGGGGGAGAGGAGAAAGAAAGAGAGAGAGAGAGAGGAGAGAGAGAAAGAGAGGAGAGAAAGAGAGAGAGGGAGGGAGAGAGATATGCATCTTTATCATTACATGAATATTATTTTTGTCCATAGCAAATGTATGCAAATTGACCTGATAGACTGAAACTCAGATGATTAAGCGATTCATATTTCTTTAATTGGGTTGAAGCCCCTTGTGGCCGCTTCAAACATCCTCTTTCTCCAGAGTTGGTTTTCTTCCCCCTCTCCTATCCGTCCAGCCGTGAGAAAGAGCTGCTGAAATGAAGTCTGTATATCAGCTGTTTTTAACAAGGGGTTTGTGTTCTAACCATTTTGTTTCCTTGAAGGAAAAACTCTTTTGCTTGTTCATCAAAATCTTCATGCAGAATTTCTGACCACCTCGGGCAAACGTAACTTTTTTTTTTTTTTTGCCCATTCAGATTAGCAAGAGGATGTCTGCTAAGAGCAAAATGAATATTAAGCCCTCTCTTGAAAAGTTCCATCCGTAACCTTGATTCTTTATACGGAAGAAAAATGATGGTGGGTTGGGTTTTGTTTTTGTTTTCGCAAAACTTCTCATTCCTTATAGGGTTTGTCAACTGATTTGGAGGCATCTTTGCTAATTAAGCAGAGGAATTTAGTAGATTCATTTGTTGGCAGGCAACAATGTATGCCCATAACCTACAAACAGGACTGGCGCCTGGAGCCATACATCTTGGGTATTACTGTAAGCTGGAATCGCGGTTCACGGGGTTTGAGGTTAATGTATTCTGCCTGTAAGACAGTGTGATTTGGGGGGGGGGGGAATTTGACTTCTGTGAGTCACGTTCATGGTCGGTTTTGACTGACTTCTTCTTCTTCTGCATCTAAGATCAAACTTTAAACTGCCAGGATGAAGTTCCCTTCTTGGCTTTGTCGTTGACCAGAAATAAATCATTATCAGCACATGATTCTGGTAGCAGCCGACCTACCAGCAAACGGCCTGGGCACACGGTGTTGCTATCTGCTAAGAACTTCCACCTGGGCATATTGGTTTTACATATTGTTCCAACCCTCAGTCTATTCAAGGTTCTCCAAGTAGAATAGGAGAGTTGGAAGGGACCTTAAAGGTCTTCTAGTCCAATCCACTGCTTAGGCAGGAAACCCTACACTTCAGACAAATGGTTGTCCAATCTCTTCTTAAAAACTTGGAGCGTTTACAACTTCTGAAGGCAAGTTGCTCCATAGATTAATTGTTCTCACTGTCAGAAAATTCCTCTTTAGTTCTAGGTTGCTTCTCTCCTTAATTAGTTTCCACCCATTGCTTCTTGTCCTGCCTTCAAGTGCTTTGGAGTTATAAGTAGTATAAGGGAGGTCAGATCCTACAGTCATGTCCCCCTTAAACGTTACTCCTTGCTCGATGGTTTCCTTCGTCCATCTTTTAATTCGATGTTGTCCTTGGGCCCCCTCAAGAATGTTTGTTTTTGACATGAAGCTGTTCCTTGATCTTGGATGTGGGGCACAGGTCTGTCCAGGGGAGGCTGAGAATTGTTCTCTTCTCTTTGGCGAAACAACCACCGAACACAAACTGTGCCAGTGTGAAGAGTGACACAGGGGGATTCTTACTAGAATTCACACACACACAAGAAAGAAAGAAACAGATGGAAGATCAACAGCAAAAACCCTTAGACTTATAGGCCACTTCGCAGTGCTTTACTGCCCTTCTCTAAGCAGTTTACAGAGTCTGCATCTAACCGCCGACAAGGGTTTGTGTTTGGAAGGGCTTCCTTGATTCAGCAAATCAAACCCACTGGATTCTTTGAATCGGGTTGACAATGGAATGTGATCCAAAAGGATGGACTGAATCCATGCATTTATCAAATTGAGCTTGTTCTGGACAAAGATAAAAGGAGGCAAATATTTTTTTTAAAAGGTGGAGGTTTCCATCTAGTGGTGTCTTTTATTTCTCATCATCTGTCAGAAACTAATTGGGTTGGCATCTCATAACTGGTACCCACCAGAGATCTGGTACCTATAAGAGTAATGATTTGCCAGGCACAATGATTTGTGGCACTACTGATGCTGACTAAGCCATAAAGTGGTTTGTTTAGAGTGAGATTAAATGGTTTTTTTTTGTCAATTCAGGCATGCCTAACTCGTAGGCTGTGAGACAGTGTTATGTCAACCAGGTTATTCCGCTTGTTCTAAAAAATCTTGGTTAAAGCACCTGATTGTTTAAGGCAGTGTTTCTTAACCTTGGTAACTTGGAAGATGTGTGGACTTCAATTCCCAGAATTCCCCAGCTAGCAAACCTTCCGAAGGGGCAAAGGTCAACAGGGAAGCCAGAGTCGCTGAACGACCGTGTGACCAAGTGCAGGGATTCACGTAACAACCCTGGCGAGAAACGTCCGTAAAATGGGGCAAAACTTGCTCAACAAAGGCCTGTCTCCCTTAGCAAGTGAAATTTTGTGGCCATTAAGTCGAGGACTCCCGGGATAAGCTGAAGAGAAATGGGACCAAGGCGCTTCCTCCAAGGTGACAGATGATGTTGCCCAGCCTGGTGAAAAGACGTTCAGAAACCAAACAAGGAGCTCAAGAGAAGAAACCGCCACCAGCCACCGTCTCCCACCCCACAAATACTTTCCACCATTTTGAAATGGTAATTATTTTTCTTTTTTGGGGTGGGGGGGTGGGGGGTCAAGGATGATGGGATATGTAGTCCACCAGAATTAGGGAAATTGCTTCTCCTGGCAAAAGGCTCCTCCTCCTCTTCTGGCCTCGCCCTTGTTCCCGTTCACCAATCAACGTCTTGCTCTCCCCCCCGCCCTCCAGTCCAAACGCTTTCATTGGCTAATATCCGCGTCTGTTAAATCGTTCCTCTGCATAATCCGACCGCCTTTGGAAAATGGGCGGCTGCACCATCCAATCCGGAGGCTCTGCCCCTCCCACCCAGTCGGCGTCATCGGGCTCGGCCTCTTAGCGACGGGGGGGCGCGGCCTCCCCCGCCCCCGCCGCAACCGCTCCCTCGGAGGTTTGCGCCGGACGGAAGTCACAAAAGCAGCGGTGACGAAGGGCGGGCTCAAGGCGGGGACTGGCCAATCAGCGCGTCGCGTCCCTTGCCCAAAGAGCCTCTGTCGAGAGCCCCGGGAGCAGTCCAGATGGGGGTGGCGAGGAGGAAGCAGGCAGGGCGCCAGCGGGGCCAGTCGTGGTGAGTCCGGGGGAGGTCAGGCTGCGAGCGGAGGTGGGGCGGGGCGTGTGGGTGGGTGTGTGTGAGAAAGGGGTAGAAATCCCGCCGCGGGACTGCCCACGCATGCGCGTCCTGCCTTGCGCGACGGTGCCCGGCGAGGGCCAAACTTCCCCTGCCCTTCCATCGGGAGCGGAAGCGAAATTGGTTCGCTCTGACAGCCGGCCTGTGCGGATGCGGCCGCCGAGGCTCCGCGCCCCCCTCGGCCGAAGGTGCGCGGAGGGGAGGCGCTCGGGGTGGGGATGCGGGAAGGAGGAGGCTCCGCTCCTGGGCTGGAGAAGCGCCGGGCCCGGCGGGGACCGGCAGGCTGCCCTTCGCCCAGGTCGGGTTGCTGGCGTCCAGCTTCACCTGGCGAACTTCCAGGGTGGGGCGGCGGGGAAGGAGGAGGCGGAGGCGGAGGAGGCCTCGGTGGGCAGCCCGGCTCTTCCTTCCGGCGCTGCTTCGCCAGGGGAAGGTCTGCCCGGGCAGTGGGGAGGTTTCACCGGTTGGGCGCCCGAAGCGGCGGCTTCTCCCCCTTGAGGGACCTGCTGGTCCTCGGCTTGTGGGGGGGCGGGGTATGTGTGTGTCTCTCTCTGATGTGTGTGTGTGTGTGTATGTGTGTATATATATATATGTGTGTGTGTGTGTGTGTGTGTGTGTGTATAATTATATACATACATACATACATACATACATACATACACATATATATATATTTATTATGTGTATGTCTAAGTTTTATTCTCTATCTCTTCTTCTATATGTATGTGTTTGTGCTGACATGTAGATACACATTTATATGTATATGTGTGTATATGTAAATATATAAATATGTATACACACACCACACCCTATATGTGTGTGTGTGTATGTATGTATATGTATGTATATTTTCTTAAGTTTTTGCGGGTACTTACATGTATGGTATTCAGCTTTGTTCGGGTATTTTCCCACGTCATTATAGTTGTGCTTTTAAAGTTGTAGCAACATTTCGGCAACAGAGAAGCCTGATGATGGCAGATGAGATTCTGCCGAAACGTCGCTACAACTTCAAAAGCACAACTATAATGACGTGGGAAAATACCCGAACGTAGCTGAATACCATACACACATGTATATGTATGTATGTATATCTATATACACACATATGTATACACATATACATACACATATGTATATGAGAGATACACAAAGATAATATATAGATATAAGATATAATAACCACCCAACACCTGTGTGTATGAGTCTGTGCGCACTCAAACTCACAACATCCACCTTGTTGGGTGAGTTAGGCTCAGAGAGGGAGAGAAAGAGACCTGGCCCAAAGCCACCTAGCCCGGTTACAGGGAATATATTATGATGATGATAGGGTTGTGAAGTATAATTATTATTATGGTACGGAGCATAATCAGCCAGAATATTATGAATAATCTGCAGCTAGATTTACAGCCTGCTGAAAATAATTCAAATCCTGACCTATGGACCTAAAAATTATTAGTGTAGCTCCTAAGGATATAAAGTCTAAACAAGGTGCGTGTTGGGGATGAGGAGAGGTTGTAGGTCTAATAAATTCAAAATTTCCAAATATGGAAGGAGTCCTTTAGTTGTTGCTTAGAGGACTGTAGTCATGATGGGTATGACAGATAATTATTATGATGTCACAGTTGATCAGGCAGTCAGACAGGTGTTTAGTGGATTTGGTGTTTTTTCCACCTGTGAGGTGTTATATTTTTACCCACTTTCTAAATTTATTTATTAAGAAAACGTACAGGGCTTCCCAACTCACTCACCCTAGCAAACAACCCTGTGAGGTGGGCTGAGCTAAGAGAGACCAACTGATCCGAAATCACTAGAGCTAACAGTCTCTTGGTTTCTAGACAGTACTCTTCACCAATTTATTGTATGCCTGTTGTATATTGTGTTATATGAAGGCAGACTTGGTTATTGCAAGCCTCCCTGGCTAAACTTGACTTGCAAAAAACTTCAAAAACTGGCCTTCAGAAAAGAGTGGTCCTTTTTCCTCTTATTAGTATAAGAAGTGTCAAAGGTCACTTCAAAATGTTGGTTTCTTTTCCTTTGGTTTATATGTACACATCAACCAGTTTTATCATTCATGGTTTATGGCCCTCCATTGTGACGGAGCCATGGTTAAAATGTTAATTATGGATTACCTTTTTATCCTCCTGCAGCGTAAAGCCTCTTGGCTTAAAAAAGCAATTTAGGGTTATTTATTTTTTTGTAAAAAGTTTTTTTTTATTTTTTTGTATTTCAAAAACATATCTTTTAGTGAACAGAATGGTTCCAGGTTTTCACATTTCCATACAAATATGACCTTGGTTACATATTCATCTTTCACATTTGGTTTCATTTCATATCATATTAAATTTCATATTTTCTATCCATTTTTTCAAAAATTCTTATATTCTTCAAATTTATTTTATATAAACAGTCCTCATATCTGCACATTCACATTATACATTTATCTGTCACATTTGCGATTTCATCGGATATTCTTATTTCATTATTCCAAAAGTTCCATCTTAATTCTAACCTTTCAAAAGATTTCCCCTAAAGGTTATTTTGACTGAGGAAGCTTATATCTCTAGAAATCAAGGATTTTCCACGCTAATTCTGCTCCTGAGCTGGAATTAGCAAACAAAAAAAGCAAAAAACTGCTTTTCACTCAGTATATTTCTTTCAGGGTACAGAGCCACAAGAGGAGGAATGTTAGCAAACAGGTGGCAAATTTGAGATTAGAAACAAAGAAACTGAAATTAAACATTTAGCTAAACTGGCCTTTCCCATATCTCCTATTTTAAAATCTTATAATCTCCAGCTGATTTAGTTTATAGAATATATATTTTTGGGACTGGCTCTACCTAAGAGTGAGAACAGGTGCAAAGGGAGTTTATTTTATTTCTTTATTGGGTTTATAAAAGGCTTCACCCCATAGGCTTTTAGAGTTATACTGGTGGTCCTCAACTTATGACTAAAACTGAGCCT